GCTGCCCCCTGGATTAGACGTAATTTCCCTAAACATAATCGGTCTGATATGCGCTTTTAGTTGTTAGGTTTTAACAGGAAAATGAATAAATTACCAGTTACAGTATCTATAACAAAATTCTCGATCCTGGTTGGTTCTTCGCGCTCCTACTTGACACATAACAACCTGCGGCTGTATAGGCCGGTGTTTAGGACAAAAAACTATGGTGGTCGCGCTTTTTCATCTTGTGTACCCACGCTTTGGAATGACCTTACATTAGCCGTGAGAAGCGCCCCGTCCGTTGATATTTTTAAAAACAGACTTAAAACTTTTTCATTTAATCTTTAAGCATGCCAATCATGTTTTTTGTTTAGTTTTTACATTGTAATTAATTATTGTAAGGGACCCTTGATCCTAAATTATTACTATTTTTTGTAAGAGCGTTGAGATTTTCGATGTAATGCGCTAGAACTAAATTTTTATTGTTATTGTTATCATTGTCGTTATCGTTATCGTTATCTTTATCGTTATTGTTATTTTTATTGTTATTATTATGATTATTAATATATAATCGGCCACGGATCACATGGTCATCCAATTATAACGTTTTGTAATCGGATAACTATAATTGGATACGTACGCCAATAGCTTCCTTCTTAATGTTTCCTACGGTGCGCTCGTCTGAGTTCTATATTTCTCGCGCTATCCCTCCCTGAATGGAACTACATTCGGTCCTATTACCATTATCAGTGTGCATCTCAAGTCTTATTGAAGGTTATTATCTCTCTCGCAACTGAAAACCACCCGAACTTTTAACTCCCCCTTTATCTTATCATGTTTAGTCTACAACAAAACTGGTTAAAGAAGCGATGGATTTCCCTCGCAAACGTCTCATCGAAATGGTGAAGAAGTATGTGCATTTCCGACGCGTTAAGGAAATTCAGGAAACCGTGCAAAGAATGAAGATGGAAACAAACATCAACGAGAGAGTTCTTCTGTCATTGAAAGAAACTGAAGACAGGATGATCCAGGTGACTCAAAATAAAAATTCTCTTTGGTCTTTGTACAGAGTTCTCATAGTAGCAAATTGGGAGACTCTTTCCTTTCGATAAACATGTTTTTAAGCTTTAGACTGAAACGAGTTTTAGTTTTGCAAACACAATTATATAAGAGAACCGAAATAGTCGATCCTCTTTGCACGCTCAAATTCTCTCTTCTGGCAAGAGCCGCTTGATAATGGTAAAGAACGACGGACGAAACCACTAAAACCTAGGACGACAAATACACACGAACTCGCTCGGTTGAAACACACAGTCGGCTATGCTACCGCGCCTCTATCTCCCATCCTTTCTGGGTAAGGATTAGGAAATTGACCCGTGTATCTAATTGTCTGTTGCCTTTGGTTTTATACATACAGCAAAAAGAAACATGGAGAAAGAAGAAAGAAGAGTTTATCAAAGCTCGAGCAGATGTTTTGGAAAAGCTCTGTCAAGTGTGAGCACACATCTTCATTTACTTATCGATATACTTGTCATAACCACAGTTATTGTACAGCAAAATATCACTCGCGAAACTGTCATGAACCAATTCAATCAGAAGGCAAAACGAGAAACACGCAGTTATGCAGCGTTTTGGGCGGGAAAAGTCACGTGAACCACCGAGAGTTGTATGGGCCACAAGTCTGATTGGCTGAAAAGAAAACGTCTGCTCTCTCATTGGTCGGCTAGATTAAAGCGAGTTTTTTGGAGAAATATTGAAGAGCTTGCCCTCTAAAATGAACAAACAATTACTTACAATTAAACCTCTGTTTGTTCCTGGTTAATTTTGATCTAGCTGTACCAGGGAATTTTACTTTGCTCTTAAAGCTTTATCACACTCGAATCCTGAAAGAATAATTACTAATAAATTAATTCCGTCGGCACGTTTCGATGGATCTGTTAGAGAAATGCTTCTCTTTTAGTTGGTTGACAGGGGATTAAAGCAAGACATTAAAAACTCTAGGCCGGTTACTGCTGTAACAGGAGCCATAATCGGGGACGGAGACCGTAAGCGCGCGCCATTTCTAGTATTGGGGTTGTCCCCATNGAGTATTGCTCATTAAACCAATGGATTTAATTCCACGACTGGAGGACATCAAAGAAGACGTCAAGGACATCAACGAAGCCGACATCTTAGAAGCTGTAAATATTCCCAAGGAACGTGCTAAACGGCGGAAATCGGAGCTGATGGCCCAGGCAGCAGCAGCTAAGGAACCTCCCCTCTCTATGGTGGAAGGCGCAGGGGTCCCGTATGAAAGTAACCAGAGTTCTTCATGGAAGGTATCGGGGGATGTAATGTGTATCCCTGGGGAACTGCTTGTATGGTAATTACGGGGATGTACGGCTACAAATAGAAACGAACTTGTTTTGGTGCTACTCAAGAGTGAGGGCCTCCAACAGTTTTTGGGGAACTATGTCGAACAAGGGAACACGATCATTTATTTCAAGTGAACAAGGGATATTTTGGATTAATTTGAGGGAAGAGGTGATATATCCAAAAGCGAACAAGGGAACAAGGGAGAAAAAAGTGAAATTTTCAACTGATCAAGGAAACATGCTACCCCTCCCTCCCCTCCCCCACCCGTTCGCTATGCTGGGAGGCCACCAAACCAAGAGTCGTTTCGCATTAGAAGGTGTGGTCCGCCCCTTCCAAACTTGAATGGAAAAGCACTGTAAACGAAAATGTCCAAGCTTTGGGAAGTTAAAGGAAAATGGATTTAAATACGAAGTTTTCATTTTATATGTTCCTGCATGTTTGCTTCAAAGCAACATTGTATGTTCTCGTTAAGCGTTTATCCCATAGTTTTGAACAGGTTCATTAGCGTACTCAACATTTTTCGCTTTTTGCGCACTGCTTTAATTTGATTCCTGGTCAAAATTTCCTGTCCTAATGTTTGTCATTAGAGTTCCATGCATGAGAATATCAGTCAAAGTTTTTTTATAGTTAAATAGCACATTATTATACTTTTCAATTATTCCTTCGCGTTATTCAAGTAAGTTTATGCCTTTCTCTGTCACGAAGGGTCAGTTTACCGTTCAAATTCTATTCTGAACTGAACGAGTACTATAAATTTTGCTGATCCCAAGTCCCAAGAGAAAAGTATTAGTTTTATTGTCGTTAGCTTCGTTTTTGAAAGCTGAATCTGTTCTAACTACGCCGTTCAATCCAGGTCATGTCGTCATTTCCTACTACAATGATCACCACACCGAAGTTATTGAACATGGACATCAATCGCAGTCGGCAGGCCGCTCAAGAGTAAGACATCAGTTTATTTGTCTATGACGCATATATCATAGAATAGTTGAAAAACTGTTTGATACGTGGGTGACAACTGAAAGATCACCGCAGGTATGTACGCAATTTGCGGACGTAGCTATGATGATTTTTCATGTGTTAAGTCATTCATCTGCCGTTCAAGCCTATATATTATATTTAACAATTATTCCATGAGATCGAGTTGGGGATGATGGATAGCCAACGGGGCGCGTAGCGGACGAATTGGTGATAATAATCTCATATCTAACAAGCGCGAGTGGAATAATTGTTATGCCCACAACGTATAGAAAACCAAAAGAAAATAAAAATAAAAAAGCCCAAAAAAAATTACGTGCGCGCTTACCATATTTGTAGAGGCTCATATGCTAGGATTCCTAAGCCAATGAAAACTCTTGAATTTCATTATCCAATGATCCAGTTTTAATAGCGATGATCATAATGTACTTATCTGAATTGTTAGAAGACTGGTTCAATGGATAATGCAATTCAAGGGTTTTTATTGGCTTAGCCATCATGGCATATGGCGCAAGGTTTATGGTAGATATAGCGTAGTATTGAAAAAAAAAACAAAAAAAACAGGGCAAATGCGATTTACCGTAAACCTCCGAAGTAATTAACGACCTTCGTTACTTTCGGAATAAGCAGCCTTGGGGCTAGCTACTTTCAGGGGTTCATTGCTTTCGAGGAACAAAACCCGTTATATAACGTAAACGTTGGCGCTGATAATAATAATAATAATGATGATGATGATGATGATGATAATTTTAATAATATATCTCAATTGACCACTCCCTCAATGGGGCTTTTCAGGACCAATGAAACAAGATGTCGAAACAAATAATGCAAATGAACATAACATGGTTAAAAATCCCAACTGGTAGGAGGCAGACCAGTTGGCTATGTACAATGACAGAAGAGTTGAACTAAGGTCTACGGAGAAAAAACTCCAGCTTTGTGGTCAGATCGGGACTTGAACCCGCGACTTCCGGAATTCAAGTCCGACGCCCTAACCACTCGGCCACGCTGCCTCCCTGATCAGGTCTGATAAAGACGAATCGACGTTTCACAACGTTTCGTGGTTTAAGCGATACCTTTTGTTGTTGTAGAGTGCGGTAATTATCGTTATCAGCTAGTTACCGTGCATAACTTTCACTTTTGATTCAAAAAAGATATATACTATTGAACCTTGGTCTCGCTATTCGCGGGGGTATAGATTTGGGCTTGCTACTTTCGAGGAGGGATGGTGGGGTCCGTTCTTTCGAGGGCTCACAACTTTCGGGATTTATTAACGGCCTCGATTTTATTACTTTTGCTACTTTTGGGGGTCGTTACCTTCGGAATTTTCCGGTACTTTCGACATTCGATCGACTGAAAACTGCTCTGAGTAAGTATGATAACACTTGATATAGGCGCTACTATTTGTCAGAAAGTGTTGCTTTTGCGCATGTAAGCTCCCGGTTCCATATTTTATTACTCATGATTTTTCGCCCTGGAATCACTCTGTCCTGTTAACAAACGATAAGTGCCTCTACGATTTTTATATTTTTCAGCATTCTGGTCCGAGTTAGCGAAGGTTCACTAGATACGAAGTCCGTTAGTCTTCCTCCGATAAACTTTTTCCCCAACTTGTATGGTTACTTCAAGAGACCAGGCGACGGCATCCGTAAGACGAGAAGCGAACCCGCCCAACCACGAAAGAAAATTGTGAAGACTTTCAGATCGAGAGTTAGATTTCTCCCTCCGATTGCTACACTATACCCCGGTGAAGACCAGGACGAAGTTTCTTAACATTAATACTTCCAAATGTACATTAAACGAGATATTAGAAATGGCTACATCTCTGGCTACATCTTTGGCTGGAATCTGAATAAAATCCACTTTGCCTTTTTTTTTTTAAATTTCGTCTAATGCATGAAATTTGTTTTATTGAAGCGTAAGGTAATCGTATGAATGCGAGCGCAATTAAGGATTTGCACTACAGGTGATATTTGAAAATCCTCTCAAAATTGCACGAGCCTTTAGGTGAGTGCAATTTGAAAGAATTTTCAAATATTACGCGTAGTTTAAATCCTTACTGAATTGCTTTGGCTTTCAAACGACACAGATTACTCATTTATTATATGACTGAGAAAATTGCGAACGTGCGCGCGTTTATTTGCACTGCAGTGCAGATAAGTGTCTGGTCTCAGCCAAACTTAATGAAGTGATTTTCTCAATTGTACAGTGATAAAGGGAACCTTTTTGGAACAGCCATCTTTATCTTAAACCCTGCTTCACTTATACTTATTAACAGAAACAAAACTTACCAACACTATATGAAAACAGTTTACACAAATTTACAGCTCTGTTTTTCCTCATACCCAGCATTTACTTAACATTTCCCTTACATATTATATATCTAGTAAAACACCAATAGTTCTCGATTTAATTTTTTTCTTCAAAATTGACCCTGACTTAAAAGCCTTTCGGTTCTGAGCTGGCCTAAACAGCTAATATTTTCAAATGGAAGTTATTTACGCTACGGATTTTAACTCCACTGGAAGCAGTTAATTGATTAAAGAACCTCAACTTTCAATTGATTTAGAATGAGACCGACAGCTATAGTAAAAAAGGAAAAGACCCGCGGGATTCCCGTATAAAAAGAACAGGGGTGCTCGAGCTCGTCGTACCTTTAAAGGGTTAAAAAAGCGGTTTCGGTACCTCTCTGGGTGTTTAACCTCAAAAGGTCCAAAGCTGGAGCTTTAGAGGCCCTGTTAGGGTATTGAGCCAAAAAAATATGAGTGGAGATAATGTATTGTTTTAGAATTGGTACTTATTAGGGGTGACAAATTTTCAAGCCACGCGTACAAAACAGGATCTTAGTACCTCTTAGCGGTTCTTTTCAACATTTCCGACGAGCACCTCCATCCTGTTTGTATGAGAGTTCCCCCGGGAGAAAAGGAAACCGAAATTACACCACAGAGTCTAAATCCCATTGATTTCTACACGATCAAATAACGCACTTGTCTGAATAACAAGCCAACACTGCACACTCCGGGAGAGCACAATCGTCCATATATTCGTCGTAGATTCGCTGATTGCCACAGACTCTCTTGTACGCTGGGGTCGGACCAACGTCTGTGATCCGCAAACATCGATCAAACTCGGGTACGACTTGGTGGGACTCTGCAACATACACTTCGCTACATTCTTGAGGCTCAGTTTGATCAACTATTGCGTCGCATGCACTCTGGCTTGAGCATTCATAGCACCTGATCGACCCCCCTGAAAATAAAAAGCAAATGAAAAAAAAAAAAAAAATAGAAGATCTGCCTTCCAGTGGTAAGTCCGGGGGAAGAACTCCCAGAAAAATTAGGCGGTGGTACTCATGTAATTAGTTCCCTAGTTCAGACCAATGTTAAAAGCAATGTTTATATGCTTTTATTGGGTAGGATGGCTTCTTCTGAAAAACAAATCTAATTCAAGACTAGAGTTCAAAAACCAATCTTACTTGAGAACAAAATGGCTAAAATCGAGACCATCGTTAAGACCAAAGCGGCTAAACAAAAACATTTTTTCCAAGCGACTATCCACTTCACTAGATCACTATCTTCACTGCTATCATTTTCGGATTTGGTCCACGTTTGGCTCGAAATGTGGCTCAAGAGCAGCCATAGCGTACCTATAGTGGTAGTTAAAAGGCTTGTCGGAAGCTATGGACAAAATCCCTTGGATGGAATGACGTCACGAAAACTAGGCCTGGCTGCTGAGTGCAGTTCAAAATGGCGGTCACGATGTCGAATTTGGGCTTCTCTGGAGACGAATTTCTTACGAAAAACCTGCACTTTTGAGGCTGAAACTTCGGCGATCGAGTAGCAAACCTCAGTGAGAAGTTTTTATTAGCATTGAAAAAAAAATTACGTTTCTTGGAGTGACCTTCTCCTTTAAACCTCACATAGACCTTGCCCTAGGGCACGGTGGAGGGGGAAATCTTTTTTTCCCTGGAGTTTCAGGAAGCCGGCGTAAGCGTAAGCATTTTGAAAAAAAATAAGCAAACTTGTACCCTCAAAAAATTCACAAACACGAACACTGCCGGAAAATAGTTTACGTACTTTCAGTGAGCTGAAAGAAAGTACATTACATGGAGGAAAAAAAAAAACAAAAAAAAACAATTCGTGCCTGTCACAAATCACCTCTCCCCCTGAAAAGTCAAATGGCCCACCCCTAAAACACACGACCCACTGTCTTTCTTTGTGTTCTTGTTGTTTTTTGTCATATTGCATCTGATGAATTACTTACCAATTGTAGCCACACTAGCGACAGCGCTCAGAAATAATAGGAGTCCAGCGGTTTTCATTCTCAATTTTGTCTGTTAGGTAGAAAAGATTAAAAATAAATTGTTGCGTGTTATCTCACTGTTGAGATATCCACTAGCTTAGAGAGACAAAAAGGAGTCTATTCTTGCAACATGTTTCCTCGTTGGGGCAGCTCTTTTTTAAAAACTTCAACATTTGCAATGACAATTCTTTCTTTCCAGATCTTTCTTTTACAAATCTTACTAGTGAAGCTTTTATGTGAATTCTGGGCAGCTAAAACCAAAGCACTTGAACGTATGGATGTAGCTAGAGGTTGAGTACTGAACAAGAACTAGCCAATCAATATTTGGACACAATTACTTCACGAATAACTTTGAATCTGCCTTAAGAAGGACGTAACCGAAGGTTGTTAGAAATTAACAAAAACGCAAGTTTAAAGTTAAAGCCCAGTTCTGAATGGCATGCCACTAGCAGAAATAAAAGAAGAATCAACGACCGGACTTGGGTTAGTTAACATTGACTAAAAAAGAGACCTTTGATCATGAAAAATATACCTGAGTTCTCAATATTTGGCTCGACTGTAATACATGTAGAAAGATAAACTTAATTATAATACCTGGGAATACCATTGGACAGCTCTGTGGGGGCCAATAACTAAAAACTGGAATTAAACCGAGTTAAGTTTCCATGCAATGGCCGTGCAATTAATAAAGCTGTTATTACAGCACTGTAAGAATTGTAGAGCGAGAATATTGGCCTTTGATCTTTTCTGTCCATCAGGATCGTTCAAACCCTAAGCCTTTGTGGGTTAATAACACGCATACGTTCATGGCGTCAACAGGCTTGTCTTGCCATGCGGCGTGTGGTTTTTACCCCCTGGAATGCCTCAGTAGACCGCTTTCAATTGGCCTCTTTCACAATTTAACTGGCTAACTCGGTGAAAAGTCAAATCGAAACTTAACCTATGCTACGATTGATTTACTTTTAAGCAAGAGAAGACCAAGGTATCCGTTTGTTTTAAATCACAAATTACCTATAAATTAAAGAAAACCTTAAAATAATTGCTCTTTAAGTTAAGGTTAGTCCGCCTGCAGTTGGTTGGAGAATACGCTGCTCCCATCTTTTACCACTGGCCATGGGTTTTTGCGTTTTCGTATCAGGCGGTTGCACGCAGTTCGAACTACACACTCATCACTGTGTACGAGTCGTGAATATAAATAAGAAAACAAATCCTACCAAGTGTGGATCTGACTTCGTTTTTCATGTTACTTTTTTATTCTCAGAGGAACGGTTATGTTAATTACGATAAGTTCATCCAACGATTTTAATATATTTAAAGTTTTCAATTTACAACAAATTCGTGAAGCCTGGTTAAAAAAAAACCAAAACATTCACACACTTGGGATAAAGAGAACTTACAAGATTGAAAAAATTGTCTTCCGTACACTAACTAGTTTTCCATGACAAGTTTATAGTTGCTTGGTATGAGCGCAACCAATAAGGGTAAGTTTTCCGTCGAAAAGGCCTCAGGTTCAAATCCAGTACTCCATGGCCAGTGTTTGAACAAGGAGACTTTTAAACGAAACACTTAGCAAATATCAAAAGGACCAAAAGGGTAGGCCGGCATGGCTATGTAATGAAAATTACCGAAGAATACGAAGCTATGATTTTTTGAGGTATTTTGCTGTATTAAGAGTGTTACGACTTCAGAGAAAAACTTATCTGACCAGGGAAATTTTTTCCCCGTCGCTTACCGAATAGCGAGAAAGAAACCTCGCCAAATACAACTGAATTGCCCTGGGTATTTGACAAGGAGTAGTTAGCGTGGGTTCGATTGAACTAAGTCAGTTTTTATTAATGTTTGTGTAATTTTGAAGGTCGGAAACCAATTTATTTTTTTGGTTTTTAACTGCAAAGTTATTTTAATGTTTGTTGCGTCGGCGCCAAGGGGTCTACTGGATATCTCTATAGACTGAGAATATTAATTAAAGTGTATATTCAGTTTTGGTTTTCTTTACCCCATGGAGAGGTTTTTTGGCATTTCTACACAATTGGAATTCTCTTTTTTTATACGAACTCATTACCCAACGCGGGGAAACACTATATTCACGGCTGTTTGGGAACTGAACACCAATAATGTGGTAGCTATACGACATCGTTTGACGCCCTATAGCCATTGAACCTTCGCGATAATTAATAAAATAGGCAAAATTTGGGCAAACGTTTTCACGAACCGTATCAAAAAACGGCCACTTTTAGGCAAATGTTTGCCTGTCCTCGCTCGTTAGTATTGAAAACTGAATTTTCAAGGAGACTCTTCAACCACCCACATCATCCAGTTGTTTACTTGAAAACAGCCGTGCGTTATTTCGATGTTGCAGAAGAATTTTGACTTAAGGTGGCTGAATACAGTTTTTGATACCTGTATTTCATTCACCTTTTTCTCTAAAACCCTTGATCTCTCGGTCGTCAAAAATGGCAGCAAGCTAGTTAACAACACAAACTTTGGTTTTTTGATGGTTAAGCTGACGTATGTGTCGCTGCTATGGCAACATGAATAAATATAAACAGGCCTTTAAAATCGGTTTCAGTTTGTTTTTTTGCAGAAAATCTAGTCATTAGATTTTCTTTATAATTTGCATGCAACAAGCTTGTAGCGACTCTCACAAGTTGACACCATTTTGCTAATAATTTAACAGAGAGATCTTTAATTATCCCTTGTTGAAGGTTCACTGGAATATCTAGAATTTCCTTTGTTAAAGTTCAATTATTTTCAATACTCCAGTTACTTATTTCCTAAAGTATTTTCGTGCCAAATTTCGTGATATTCTAATGAGTGGCTCGAGAAATAGGCGTATTTCCGAGAGTGCAATTTTCATTCAATCGCAATTTTTTTACTTACTATGCATGCGCTGCATTTAACTGGGTTCTTTCGGTAACAAAGAAAAAGCTGAGAATTGCAGGGTTCTTTGCATCGTTACCTTTTCTAACATACCTTTGTAATAAAAGACTAAAGCCACCAATACGCTGCGTTCAATTATAGAGAAAAAAAGCACAGATACTGCGGGTGTTGAGTAAGCAAAATGATCGCTCTATTTTGACGGCACGTTTGTTTTTTTGCAATCCTTGTGCGCGCACTGAATTGCATCAGCAAAAGCGCGCGCGAAACTGTGTTCGGCCACCTTAAACAGGGATTCTTGGGGAGTAGTTTGATAGAAAAATGGCTAGCTATTAGCAAGAGAGGATTTATCTCTAAGTCTTTTAAATATCAGATATTATTAAAATGTATCCTGACGTAAAAAGTAACTTAATTATTAATACGATGCTATTCTTAGTTTCACAATTGCTTTTCCTCTCGTTGTTTTGTTTTGTTTTTAAGTAATGTAAATTTAGTATAGGTATATCTAATAAATCATTCGCCATATCCTGCGGCTGAAACCCTGCGGGGTGTTTAATTATCTACTCCGGTAAAATGCAGCCTTTTCCGAACGTCACCGTCAAGGCAGAGCCAATTGATCTACAAGAAGTTAAATTTGTGTATACGAAGAGAAGACGAAGGCTCTTTTTTGTGAACCAAGAGAATTAAATGAACAGTTTTTTTTATTTAACGTTCTTTTCCATACATTATACGCAAGGCAAGTTTTGCACAAGGCGGTATCGAGCGCTATCAACAACCTGAAACACTGAAGTTGAAGCTTTCTTGCCTCTAAAAACACTCTTTGTTATACAGAGTGTGACTCATGTAGGAGTCACTTCACACCTGTACATGTGGGCTTGAAATCACACACAAACTATAAATATTTAACAATAAATTAAGCAATGGTGGTTTCGGTCGGAAAAGTTTGCCCTTCGAATCTGTTACTGAGACAACTGATCAGTGCGTGTTAGTCGGAGAAAAATGAGCTTCATTTTAGCAACTGTTCATACGTGTATGTGAGTTAACCGAACTGAGCCATTGTTTTGTGAAATTTCGAATAAATATCGGCTCTTGCTAGGACTTGTGTGGTAGCACTTCACGGTTAAATAGAAGATAGGAACGAAATTAACGTTGAATGAAATAACCTAACGACCGAGATGTCATCAAAATCCAATACATATACGCCGATAGAAATTTGCCGACAAAAAAGACTATTCTTAACACACTTGTATGTGGCTTAAATAGCGACTAGAAAAGCCAAAAGTTAGCAAGTAATCTTAAAAGTTGGTTTTATATACATGAAATGACTGAGGCATGTTGTATTTTGACTGGAAAAACTCATGATTTAATTTTACACCTGTGCATCTGAGGGGCATTCAATCGCTCAGGGAGCGGTTCCGCCTCTTGAGTATATAATATACAACTTAAAGAAAGAGCGGATTTCGAAGACATTTTCAGCCTAAACTGATTAAGGGTCACAATAGCTATATACAAGTCGATAGCTGAGAGAACACAAACCACGACTTTCTTTGGCCAATTTTTCCCTTGATGATTCGCGACCACTGATCTGGCTCGCAAAATAAGCCTAGCAATTTTTCCCTCAAAAAAAAAAAAAGTATGTCAAACACGTTTGGTCAATCAGCGTATTTTTTAGATATAGTTTTCTTGAGTTATTGTGCTTTACGAGTGAAGTAATAATAATTTGAGCCGGGTACTGAGCCAAAAGGGTTATAACGTTATCATACTGAGACTAACTTGAGAAGTGGGATCCGAAGCTTGGAATTGTTTAGATGCTGAACTTTTAAATTGATTTAACATTAAAAAAATAGTGTTCCTTACCTTTTCCTGCGGCCACTCTAACGTTGAGAAAAAGATCTGTACTCGATCTCAATGATGAAGACTCGAGTTGAAAATAAATTGTCAGTCTTTTGTGTATAAACTTTAATCTCTTAGTAACAAGATGTATGGGGTAAGAACGTAAAATAAATCAAAAGACTGAGACATGAAATAAGACTTTGAGCTCTTACAAAATTGCTGAGGCGTATATTATAAGGACGTTCACACTGCACACACAATTCAATTCATACGCCACTCCATCAAAATATAATCCACAGTGAAATGCCAATTTTTCGAATCTGCCAGAAAGTAAACGAAAACTGGTTTGAAAAAATCGGGTAATTCGAGAAATCTAATGTAAAATCATATCCTGGAATATTTCAGGGTATTAAAAAGGTTTCTTAAGGTTAGGTTACTGATCAATGCTTTCCTATTTCGATGCTGTTCATATTATACCTTCTCCTTTTACATTGCGTTATTAACTAATACTTTTAAAAAAAAAACAAAAAAAACTTGAGTTCATTCATATTCCATTGCGCACTATCACTTCGGGAATTTCCAGCTGTATTTATCGTTACCTTGGTTAATTCGGGCACTGATCGAGATAATGAGATAAAATTGTGATCTAGTTTTTATAAGCGCTCCTCCTGAAAATAGTTATTCTAGATTCCATGACTTATCAGGATTTTGTTGTCTAATTTTTCTGCTAAACTTTGTTCTTTACGTCGTACTTTTTGGACATAGTAATACAGTTGTTTGATTAAAATTTAAAATCACAATTCATTCACACCTTGCACAATGCAAGGTGAACAGAAATGCGTTCATACTGCAAATAACACGATGGTGTCCCTTGAAATGTCAGGATATGAGAGCACAAACAGTTAATGATATGGAACTAGGCGGACCCAGAATATTGGAAAGGCATTCACGAAGTTAGAATTGGGCCATCTTTTCCTTGTAACACTTAAGCTGTAAGAAAATTTTAACCACACCTTTTACTTTTAAATTAGTATAATCCTTAAATTTTAAAAGCAGGCGAGCGACGAGCGGGGTCTGGGACAGAAATCGGAGAGCGCTCACTGACCTAGAGACTGGTACAGGCTGAGTCTCGAACATTTACGGAAGTCTTGTTCCCAAATCTCTATGTCCCAAAAAAAAAGTGCAGTGGTAAAACTTTGTAGACAATCCTTTTTATTGTGAGAGTTTCAGGGGCAGTAGTCACACCAACTAGCAAATACCTAGCAAGTACCTTGACAAGTTAGTGTCCTATGGGATTTGATAGACATTTCTGAAAAAAGACTGGGTTGGAGGATGACAAGAGAATGGGGAAGATGAAGAGGACAATTACTACCCTCCAGTCAATCTATTATCAAACTGCAGGACTTAGTATCTCTGAAATCATAGTGAATAGAGGGAAACCGGCAAAGTTTTTTGTTGCATGTTTTTGCTGGCTATTTGGGGAGTTGACCCTGCACAAAACTTGGGAAAATACAAAAGGTGATTATGTGTGCTTATAGAACTAACCAGTAGAAGCATTACGATTAGGTAATTCATGCAGAGTCAATGAGCATAAAACAAAAAGATGTGCAGGGGACCTTCCAACATAAATCGTCTCTTTGATGTTTGCCAGGCTTCTGAACCATTTTCCTCTAACAACTATGCAAAAATATATCTTCAATCTTCTGTTGTTGGAGATGCATTAATTTGTCAGTTGTTGTATAGTATAACATGCAAATCACTGGGGCTTCAGCAGTTAGTTGAAAACTACATCTAATTTTTCATCTCTGTCTACTTAACATTTGTAATCTGCAAAGGGATTTACCCATCACGGCATGTAAAGGAGAAAAAAGGAAATAAATGCAACTAAATCACTATTGATTTATAAATGAGACAAGACACCTAAACACTTCATGCTCTGCTGATGTATCACTTCAGCAGAAACCCACCAGTGACATTGTGTAGACAGTTCAACAACTTCCAACTCAAACAAGTTCTGCAAGTAAAGTCTCTCCACATCTCCACAGATCGGGGAATCCTGTGCACAGGCTATTTCAGTAAATTTCAAAACCACACAACAGTTTTAATGTAAGTTTCTTTTAATTATATGATCCCTTTGGATTCAACTACAGGCAATTTTATGCTGCAGTAGTTTGACGCGGTCCAACACCTCCTGGACGTTGTCCCTGGGGATTGTCAGGCTAGAAGGTGAACAAGAAAAAAAGTTAAGGACGGCTTCATAGTTATTATAGTGTATATTGAACACTGAATCTAAAGACCCAGTACAGAACAGACTGAGGCAAGTTTTACATGCAAGTTTGATTTACACAAAACCAGGGCTGTCATCAAGTTTTTAGTCACCTGCAGCCTTATTCTCCACACCTGTAGCAAATTTGTTACTTTATGGGTGAATTCTATCTTGAAACAACAGGTAATTTCACCCATAGCACCAAGGAAAAATCAAGCATACTCAGCCGTACTGTACTATGGGATACGGCCCTTAATGACAGCCCTGAAAACAATTTACACATTTGCAAATATGAATTTCCAAAATTGTCTGTCTAGATCAGCCCTTCACAAAAACACTTAACCTAGAAACCTATGTACCACAGACACATGCAATAACTGGGTGCTGGTAAATTATTGCATTCTGTAATGCTTGTTGACACTGGAACATTGTATGGTACATTTGTTTGTTTGCTTTTTGTTTTGCTTTTTATATTTGTTATTCATAAACAACACAACATAGTTACAGCTCATTAACACGTAATACAAAGTCAAAAAGTCACATTTCACTGGCAATATACATGTACAAGAAAATAATAAAAATGAAAGCTAGAGTGTAAATGTACTCAGGGCTGTCATTACGTTTTGAGTCAACTGTAGCCTTAATCTTCACACCTGTAAGAAACTCAGGTGATTTGTATCAACAACAGTCCAGTTCACCTCTAACATCCAGGGTACATTAAACATACTCAGCCGTAGCAGGCGTTACAGGTTACAGCCCTTATTGACAGCCCTGCTACTTACATGAATACTTCTGAAGAAAGATAACGGTGTGATGCAAAACAATACAAGGGAGTATTCTCACTATATTATATGTGGTTAACTTTATACATTACATCTGTTTAGATAGCTACATGTACTATTGAACAACAGTGGACAGTTCTTTCCATTTTTTATGAAATTCTATGGTAAGCTGTAACTTGTATGTTGCTTGCAACAATGAAAGGGATGGTTTATATTGAGACCTCGGCATTGGAAGATGCTTACAAAGGATACTAATATGATTTAGGAAAAGGAAGTCTTCTCTAAAAAACCCAAAAGTTATAGGAGAAGTGTTCAAATAATCTATAAGCTGTTCTGTTACTGAAAGCAACAAGCTGGAGTTAATTTCACAATAAATAAATAGATGCCCAAGGGATTCCTCAGATTTTTCATACTCATTGATGAGATAACAATGCCCATTTTGTGAAGAGCTCTACTGGTGTTAACAATTCTGTGTACAAATTTATACTGGAATTCTCTGCTTTTGGAGTCTACAGTTACACTTCTAGGAAGAACATAAATTTCTTGCCATGGCAAATCAGTTGTTGGAAAAGAGTTCTTTGTATTCGTTTGTTTGTTTTTTTTATTTCGGGGTATTCTTTATTTTCTTCACAAGATCCCACTATAGCACCCTCAAAGAAGTACACTGTACAGGTAAAGTCAAGTGTAGGAAAAAGAATGTGATTGGAATCGATGCTATCAGCACCTGACAACAACGGAACATTGGTACAATTTCAGAAAGTGATTTTTAAGACCTACCAAAAAATAGGCTCAACATCAGAATGCAATATTATTAGGCTCGACTACCAGCCGTTGTTCAGGAAAGGAGCCTGCGCTTCTCCCCTCCCCTATTATGTTCTTCCCCTCTTAGAGAGAACACAGAACCTGGATATTATTACAAAAAGAACTCTTACCCTGCGTGGGAACCTTGGAGGCGGGACCCTGATCTTCCTGTTTTCCTTGGAGCGATTCCTGACGACCTTAGAGTGGATTGCACAGCTAACACAGTAGTGAAGCTTGACATAAAGTTTGGGAAGAGGGTACACTGTAGAGAAAATGTCAAGTGAGAATCCAAGAAGAACTTCTATGGACTTGGGCTTAGTCTTGATACTTTCGTACATTAATACACATGCTAAGACAAAATTCATGCACAATGACTTTCTCCCCATAATGAATTTTTGCCAACAAAGGTGGTTTATCCTGGGAGAAATTCAAGGCAAATTCATTTGGAATTAAGAAAGTGTATTTACACTGTATGTGCAAAGTCATTAAGTTTCCATCCCTGTACTTATGACAGAGATGAAACTTACCTCAGCATGAACTTGCATATTTTATCCCTGGAATATGTTTACCACAACAGGAGGTAAATTACCAGAAACTTTGACGAAACTGAATACTGGGAGGAAATGTTCCTTGGAAAATGCCTCCTAATGGATAAATGCCACTAACAGAGGCCAATAATCAGTGTTTCAGCCAGAAAATTTTACTTGAGGGCCAAAGTGGCCCCTGAAGATCTTTTTTAGGGCCATATTTTTTAGAAAAGGGGCCAATGAACTGAAAGCTACAGAAGGAAAAAAATGCATCAGGGTACCAAGGAAAATAAAGCAGTTTATCATGATCTAGGACAAAATTTAATAGAAAGTGATTTTTGAAGTGTTTCTACCCAATAAAGTTTCTTTTGAATCAGATACTACTAGTATGAAGGATCCGTGCATTACAAGAGAACAATCCTTAGGCATACATGACGTAGTCCATGATCAAGGGTTTGCAATGCATTATAGGGCGATTTCAAACACGGTCAACCATTTGGAAGTTTTCCGATATGAAAGAATCAATACAGCAAAGCAAGAGGACGGATTGACTTCTTTTCTTATGTTGAATGTTTTAGAAGCAAAGATCTTTCAATATGATTTTCTAGAAGGACATAATGTGTGACAAAATAACCGTT